AATGAAATCGATGATAAACAGTCTGTTTTTTTACGTTTTACAGCTTTTTTCTTCTTTTTAAAGAATTATATTTTCCGTGTGCTTTTTAATGGTGACTGTTATTGAAAGATAAAATGTAACAACCATATTGTTCATCACGCAGACAAATTTATCTATACGAAAGAAAAAACGGATGATTTGGAATATTATTTCGGATGGCGTAATGTCTCAACGAGATATTGCCTGCTGAATGGAATGCGATCAAAAAGTGCTATCTTTTGGTGTAGTCAGACTTTTTCTGTATTTTGGGATAGTAGTGGAACAAAGAAGGGATTGAATTTACTTAGTTACCTGTTTTACTTGAAAGCAGTCTTAAAACAAAAAAGTGTAAACAATTTTTACTAGATACTAACGGTGATGAAAAGAAAAAGTTTCTTTTTTGTTATTTTATTCTTACTCTTGATCTTCGCAAAATCTAAAGTAGCAGATCTATGGTGGCATTTGAATTCTTTTGGTTTGTAAGGCAAAAACAGTTATTACATTAGTACCTAAAAATGAAATATCAATGATTATATATTTTGGTTTGAAAAAGTTTCTTTAATTGTTGTTTGGTTCATTAACATTTGAAGTTTTGAAGTCTCAAGAAGCATTTACTGTGAAAGCAATATGTCATTTGATGCTATTGTTTTGTTTGAAAAAAATTTCCCGAATTTTACTGTAAATATTGAGCTTATAGATTGATTATGTTTAACTAGGGTATAGTGTTTTTTAAAGAAGATAGATGGTTTTGAAAACGGATAAAGAAGAAAAACTTGCTATTGACTAAATACTCTGCAAGAATTACTGATTCAAATATATGTTTATATGTAAACTCATAACAGTGTTTCACTTATTTTGGTGGGTGCTATAGATAGGTTTTTCAAACGATTGGTTAGATGATATTTTTATAGCTCTTCCACATGAATTAGAAGCTATAGGTCTTATTAGCAAATTCTTGTTTCATTAACTGCACGATTTTTGATTAACTGTAC